TGTTATGTAGAAAGTTAAAATTAAAAACTTGTGAAGTTTTTAGAAAAGACTTTCTTTTTAAAAAATGAACTAAATTGAAATGGAAAAAGTAGGGGTGTATAAAATTGAACCGAAAATCAAACCAAATCGCAAATTGAATCAAATCGAAAAAAGAAACTCGACTGATGGTTTGATTTGAATTAGTTTGGTGTTAAAAAACCCGACTATATTTGGATTGGTTTAGTTTCAACTTATCAATTCGAGACCAAATCAACTTGACATTATACATATAATTTTTAAAATTTTATTTTATGCGTAAAAATATTTACTTTGATATAATTTTTAAATATTTCTTATACTTTTTCATAGTTTTTATCTTTAATTATATTTATTTCATGTTTGAAAGTTTGAATGCTTAATGATCCAATAAAGATTATAATATTGAATATTTATTTTTTAGTTTTACATAGGTTTAGACAATTTAAATACATAATCTAATTTTACTTTTATTTTAATATTTAGTCATCTAACTGATACTTATTAAACTTATTTTAGAATGATTTAGTAATTTTAAATTATGATCAATTTCATTATGACTTATTAATTTGCACTTTTTGTATCACATGATTTCATTTCTAATTTTTTTTTGTTGATGTTTTAGTGTCATTAATCATGTCATATTTTTTGTTTTATTCTAAAGAAAGAACTTAGGTAGTTGCATTTTGGTAAGACTAAAGAAATATTTGAAGGACAAGTAAATTATATGTTTTTATGAATACTTTATCGAGAAGATCCAAAAAACCCGAAGTTGATAATCCCAACTTTTATTGGTTTTGTTTTGTTTATAAATTCAAAAATTCGATACAAATGATTTGATTTTGATATTTGAAAAATCCGAACCAACCCTGTCATATACACCCCTAGGAGAAAGTATTAGTTAACCGAATTTATAAATTGCAAATCAAACACTATATTGATTTTACAGCATCAATTAAATTACCTCCCGGCTAACAAACATAGTATTACTTATGCGAGAATTAAGATGAGCTATCATACTATTTGGTCGAAACAAACTAAGTTGAGTAAAAGATGCAAAGGAACAAGGTCAAATTGAATCAATTTTTACAACACAAATTGTGTTTGAAATGACAAAAGTAATCCTCCAGGCCAAAAATTTGGTGTTGTACAAGTATGTTGAAAGTTGAACGGAGCGTAAAGCTCTAACTACTACTATTTCAAAAACCAATAAATTAACACAAACGCACATAAGCACAAAAGAAATGAAAATGCTTTATCAAGAACTATCGAACTCTCATGGAGATCATTCAGCCTACGATTCTTATGCTTTGATTTCTTCTGATCTTTTTTGACCTTTTGTTCAGCAGCACGATCCATATTCAATTGCTTTTCTAGCCTCTGCATTTTCTCCTCGAGCTTCGATGCTACCTGTCAAACAGATAAACATTCGTCCATAAAATGGAACAACACATATGGACTTTTGCTATTGTTGATCCATAAACAGGCCAAAAGGCACACATAATGTAAGCAAAAGGGGATCTAGTAATAACAAGGTCACAATTACCATTTCAGTTATACGACTAAATTGCTCCTCATGGGATCTCTGCATTTGGTCCTTCAATTCTTCTATGTCTTCCTCAAGTACATTGGCCTTCTCATCATGAAAATTCATCAGTCCTTCCTGTCAATGAGATGACAACAAAGATTTAAAAGGAATAATGCTAAATGGAATTGAACAAATAAGTAAGTGGTACCTTAGATTTCGTGAACAAATTGTTGGTATAAGGCTTACCATCATTCTCTTCCACAACCAAGTTAACTTCGAAAAGAAGCTCTCTTAATTGCTCAGATCTCTTATTATGGTTTTGAGTCTTGTTGTCCAAAAGCACTACCCTATTTTGACACATAGCAAGAGTTTCCTGTAACGACAATACAAATAATTTATCAGCAAAACAATCATAATACATATTCTCTGATAGATCGAGATAAAAGCCTTTGAATAGATGAATGCAGGCAATAAAGATGTGATTTAGAAAAGAAGTCTCTACATGTAATATAATCTTACCTTTAACGGCTCAGGGCAGTCGGAACCTAAGTAATCATCCAAAGTCACATCATGATCTTCAAGATCATCTCCACCAGTGAATACTACAAATCATATAGTCACTAATTTTTCCACCGAAGAACTCTTGAAAACTCTGAACAGCTGCTTGTTGTTCTTTTGAAAAGCGATATCTTACAGAAAGAACTAAAAGAACAGCATGGATGCCATCTTCAGCCAAATCAACACATCTAAGAAATTCATTCCTAACAATTTCTGAAGCAGCTGAGAAATCAAACAGTCCTGCGCACAATTCACACAATATTAATAACAATCAGTAACTCTAGTTGTGAGAATTTAGTCTGTATCAGGGACTTCCCCTGTATGCACAATGTAGTTCCCTTGATTTAATAAAAGAGGGAAAAAACGGTGTACGTACCAGGCGTGTCAATCACATGTAGTATTTGGTCATTTGGCAGATTAGTACTTTGATGCTGACAAGTAGATGTAACACCAGCAGAATGAGGCATCGACCTGAATACATTTCTTCCAACAATGCTATTCCCTGTTGAACTCTTGCCATCTCCAGCGCATCCAATTAAAACTACTGTCCGAGCTTCAGTTTTATCGAATTCCCAACCATCAAATAACGTTCCACATCCACCCATCTTATCTTACTGATCAATCAAAGTGCCAAAAACCATCAAGTCATTCAAAAAGAGATATCAAATTATCTATATACCTCAATTATACGAGTTATCTGCTGTAACAGATAAAGGTAACCTGATACTAAAAGGCATTAATGATGCTAAAGAAATACAATAAAAGGCGCAAAATCAATCATCAGAAAAATAGAGGCTTTAGTTTGTATTTGATACGAATGAAAACATTTTTCTCATCATCTGAAGACAGTGCTAAAGTCTTTAGATTAAATGTTGTTAAAGGGTTTAAGGATATATATATATATATATTAAAGAGGGCTAATCGTAGCTAAAAATACATATTGCATTCCAGTTTTCTCCCCTCCCAACACACCTCATCCTCACCCATCATAGCCCCCATCCCCAGCACCCTAACTCCACCCTCACCCCATAGTGTTTGAATAGATTGTGTACATGCTTTCGAGATAATACTTTCTGCGTAATTTATTTTTTTTGCTGAAAGTAAAGAACTTCTTACAAAAAGGGAAAACATCTTAATTTGCTACTGTAAAACCTGTAGAATGGATTTAGGCTGCAATTTCAATTAATTACATACTAAAAGTACGGAACTAGCCGGAGGCTAAGTTGCTCCGACTCTCTAAAAGTATTGGAGCACTTGCGTCGAATTCTTCAAAGAATACACTATTTTAAAGGATCTGACACACACTCGGATTTGAAGAGTCCAAGCAACCTAGTACTACAAGGTGCTAGTTGTGGACTTGTGGTTTGGTGTTAAAAAAACACAAATATGTACATTGTAATAAGATGCAGAGCATAGAAATAACTCATTAGATCATATTCTTGAAACCATACATGTTAAACAAAACGGGAAGTAAAAATATAAAAATAAGTAAGAGGAAATACTGTATTTTTTAACCCAAAAACGAAAAAAAAATAGCTTAATACCTTTCTGCTGAGATATTGAGAGATACGTGTAGTAAATAAACTTTTCTAGGTTTATACAGAGCAGCCTGGCCTTTGACAATCTATAAATAGACCACTTCTATTTGTTGTTTTCTGTTAGGATTTCTGTAGTTTTTCCTTAAATTTTTATATTGGAGATCAATTACAATAACAATTCTTCACAATAAATAATTCCTCAAATCACATAAAATCTTTTTTATATTGACTACCTCCATAATAAATATAAAGAAAAAAAAAACTGATTTAGCTTTAAAAGAGGATTTCCTTCCTTATTTAAGTTCTAAGGTTTCTATTTTTTCGGTTAACTAGCTTTATTAGATAGCAATTTTAAGGGAAAATTGTATATAATAGCAAACTAATAATCTAAAATAAATGGAGTAGCTAGGGTTTGATTTAATTGTGCTCCATAGCAAACGTTAGCTAAAGTTTGTCAGACGTCTCACTCTCCATTCTCACTCGCCTCTCTCGCTTTATACACAGAAGTGTATAAATTTTGTTTTCGTTTTGTATAAAGCGAGAGAAAAACATATATCTTCTTGCTATACACTTATAATTATGCAATATATATATATATATTTTAATTTGATTCAACTGTATACAAAGCAAATTTTATAAAAATATTGCAGCGAAATATACAATTGTGCATTATACAATCGTAGTAAAATAGGATAGCGAATTATACAATTGCAGCTAAATAGGCCAACGAATTATACAATTTAGGCCAGCAAATTATACAATTGTATATGTATAGCGAATTATACAGTTTTATGTTTGCTATAAAACGCAATTATGCAAACTTTGTTATAGTATACAAATATGAATTTTTTGTTTGCTATATGTGAAAGTTGTTCAATATAAAATGTATCTATAAATTAACCTATGTATCACTAATTCAAATATAAACTTCAAAAAAATGAAGAGAACGAGAAATGGAGAGGAGAAGGATTCTAATATGACTTCTGTCTTCTTTTGGCCACTCGAAAGTCATAGTTAGGAGTTATCATGACTCTTTCTAATAAAAAAAATTAATTATTTATATTTTTTAAAGATGAATCTTATTTATAGGATGAGAATTATCATTATATTGCTAGAGATAAATATGCTATTTTAACATATATTTGGGAGATACATTGGCAAATATCCATCCACTAGGACGGTTAATTAAGTTTTAATCACCATCTCAAAACTATTCAACATATATAAACATTTCTCTAATGTGGAAATAATATTAGGATAAAAATACTCTTTCCTATAACATGAAGAACTCTAATATGGTAGGCTGAACCTCGAGACTCTAATGAGTCAAACTCCAGCACGATTTGTTGAGATTCCAAAAAAAAAAAAATCTAATAAGTGGCACCAAGATACAATCATAAAGTTATAATATATATTTGTAAAAGAATTCAACCTTAACACCATAACGCTGGCATTGTTCTATATTTTTTCGCTTAAATAATTTTATTTAAATATTACTTTTTGGGCTAAAAATTGGATATTAACGCACTAATCAGGCCTATTTTTTTTGTTTTATTGTGGCCCAATACTCTTTTTTCTCTCTCTTAATAATAAAGAAATTATCTGCCGTCACAAGTCAATCTCCTGCAGCCCCACTCTCTATAGGTTAGCAAAATTATGCTCCATTAATTTTGGCTCTCTACTTCTTTATTATAATGTAGAAATCACTGCTTTTGTGTGTGTAATTGTGTGAAATATGACATTGTATTATCAGGAATTCCTTATATTAGTTCTTTTGTTGATCAAGTAGTTATGAAATTACTATAGATACTATATAATTTTTCGACGAAGAACATTGTCATTTATTTCAACTCTTCAATATATTGATCATAAGTGAATATTCATACGTACCCTTGTTAACCTTGTCATTACTTTTAGATTTAATAGACTTAAAACCTGATTTCCACCAAGAAAATGTAGATATTGTTTTTGAATTTTACAATTATGATTTCGTGTAAATAATTGAGTTAAACTTAAAAATTTGTAAGTTACTAAGTTCGGCCTGAACATGATCCTGATCTTAGTTTTCCCATATCCAGGAACTAATCGTCGTGGAATATCATTGTTAAAAAGGTTATGCATGTGAAATCCCTTCTTAAAAAAAGTGGCTATTTTGTTCTGCCTCCAATGGCTTGAAGGGTTACCATTATATAGATTTATATAACAACCAGAAAGACTTTGTTTGTTGTTGATGATCTTTTAATTCAGCTGTTTCATGGTTAACCTGACTGTGACCTGTTGCTTAAGGTAATTTGATCCGATACGATACGATGGGAGGAAATTCAGTCAGTGATGATTGGGAGTTTATTGGGAATGAAACTCAGACACTACTTATGATTGGGTGTATAGGTGAAGGAAAAAGTGCCACAGGCAATAGCATTCTTGGTAGAAATGCATTCCAGTTGAGGTCTAGCTCTGGGGCTGTTACAGGAACTTGTGAGATTCAAAGGACTCGATTAGAAGATGGACAGATTCTTGATGTTATCGATACCCCTGGTACTGTCAATTATGAATGAGCTCGTTTTTTACTGTTTTGCGTTAACTAGAACCTTGAAGTCAATTAATTCTAAGAGAAGTGTAGAGTCAATTATTTAACATTTCCTATTATATGACAAGTAGTATACTTGAAACCCCGAGGGTCTATTTGAAAACAGTCTCTCTACCTTCACAAGGTAAAGGTAAGGCTGTGTACACACCACCTTCCTCAGATCCCGGTTGTGGGATTATACGTGGTATGTTGTTATTGTTGTTGTAGCATACTTGAAACAAGCTACGGAGAAAGAACGCCTTATAGTATATGGGAAAAGTGAATACCATCATAGGAAATTTGCCTAGTAGATAACATGAATTTTCTGAATCTTGCTTCGCTATTTCTTATATCCGTCAGATAATCTGTAAAGTCACTGATAGCTTAGTCTGTGCCTTGTGGAAAATGCAGGATTTTGTTTTACAGCTGAATCTGGAATAGTTGGAAAAGAAATTGGTAAATGCATTGATTTGGCTGATGCTGGTGTCCACGCTGTTCTTTTTGTTTTGTCTGTACGAACTAGCTTTTCAAAAGAAGAACAGGCTGCTATCCAGTACTTTAAGAAGCTCTTCGGGACCAAAATTACTGATTACATGATTGTGGTCTTCACTGGAGGGGATAAGCTCGAAGATAATGACTCTTTGAATGATCACTTAGATCATTCCTGCCCCGAGGATTTAAAGGTAAAGTCCCGTTCAGAGATTTATTGTTTAATGTATTTGCACCATACCCTTTGGAATAAGCTGACTGATTCTACTAACTAATATACAGGTGTTTTAACATTCGTCTACTTAAGAGACTTCTTCATTTTGTTCCAATTTTGGATGATTTCTTGATCTTCATTCTTCAACGGTTATATTCACGAAGAATTTTTGTTGCCTCATGACAATTCTTTTTCCTTCCGTAGCTAAATGTATTCAGTTTTTGGGATGAATCCACTAGAGAATTGTTATAGTTACTTTAAAAGTACTCCCATTTGTCCATTACTATTTTCACCTTTGCGTGCTCAAGAATGTGTAGATCGTTCCAAAATTAATTCTTCCTACCATTGCAGGAAGTTCTTAAGATGTGTGGGAATAGACAAGTGCTTTTCGACAATAAAACTGAAGATCCAGCGAAGAAAGCTAAACAATTCAGTGAACTTATTTTCCATGTGAATATGGTTGTAGAAACAACCGGTGGAAAACCATATACGAGTAACTTATTTGAGGAAGTAAAGGTGTGTATACAACATTAACTAATTTGTTGGATTTTCTTAATGTGGAGAAGGGGAGCAATAACCTATCTTTTCATCTTCTCATTTATAGAAGATGAAGCTTCGTAATGACTCATTGGAGGTTAGTTCTATGCTCGGAGATTTAAAGGAAGGGGTAACTGAGTTGAAGGAAAAACTGCGGAGGTTCTCTTTAGTGGAGCAAAAAAGGCGAATAACTAAAATGGTAGGTACCACTGTAGGCACACTTTTGCTACAGTTACTATAATCATCAATTTGTTCAGATTGGCCTCTCTTTTTTTCCTTTCCAAGATATTCTACGTCTAATAAGGGGTGGGAAAACACCGCAAGATATGATTTTCTGTTTTCACAGAGAGAAACAGACTAAAAAAGTGAGACTGTTAAATTGCTTTTGTTCTAGCTCAATACGTTCTCGTTTCTGCGAGACATTCATTGCAGAAATCATTTTCAACAGCTACATTGATAGCTGATGTCATCTTCGACTTTCGACAGTCTCTTGCGAGAGGCCAATTTGCAAATTTTGGGATGAAATTAATTGAGTTTTGTTCATCAAGAAAGTTCTCTATTTGTAAATTGCATTCAAAAGTATTGTCAAACATGAATATTAGATTATTTATTTTAATTTGTTAATGCTAAAAGTTTAATTTGGGAAATTCCTTATACGAGATAAAATATTACTTGACTCATAACGAATTCTAGTTTTTGGCTATGGTCTATGAAGGCAGTTCATCTTATTTCTTGATAGTGCTTTTGAGCATTTTATGGACCTATCTGTACATATTTGATAGGTTGAATCTAACATGAACAAGACTATGCATAGTCTTGAAAAGCAGTTGGAGGAAGAGCGTACTGCTCGTTTAGAGGCAGAAAAAGAAATTCGTGAATTGAAAGATAGCTTAGAGAAAGCTCAAAGAGAGACTGAGGAGCTCACAGGTCAGTATCTATTCTATTAGTTGTTGATGTAATTTTGTAAGTTTAAACTAGTACAGATTTCTGGATCGTTCTCATTTCCTTCTAAGTTTGGCTTACTCCTTGTATCCAGTTGTCCTGGTGTAAAGTATTAACTTTCGTGTTACGGTTTTGTTGGATGGATGAATTAGTCAAAACTCGCTCTTACAGCTGCTACAAATGTCGAAGACATGTCTCATTTCACGATGATATCATCTCTACCAACTTCCAGGTGAACGATTTCATCTGCCCATGTATAGTTACTAGATTGGTATTGTCGTGCACTTTATCTGTGATCGTCTGGTTTCTGTCCATTAACTGTAGAAAAAATTATTATCTGTTTTTCAGTCAAAGAATAGCAAGGCTTTCCTTTTTGCTCATGTGAGAAATGTTGTTGTTGGAACCTATGAACAAAAACGTCTCACAACTGGTCTCCACACAATTGCTGACATACACTGTGTGGATTGCAACGAGGTATTGGGCTGGAAGTATGAAAGAACTGTTGAGCCATCGCAGAAGTACAAGGAAGGGAAATTCGTACTCGAGCTATGCAAAATTGTTAAAGACAATTGGTAACTCATAACCAGAGTCTTTTTTATTTTATATGTTAGTACTTTGATGCAAGTATTTTTTCTCCGTTTCTGAGCTTTCGCACTACCTAACTTTCCATCAGAATTATCAACCATCCGTATTGCTACTTTCATTTCACGTTATAACATCTTTTGTTCCTCATAATTAACTGATTTTGTTACTTCTGTTTTATAAATTTTCTGTATTCGCGATTGTCTTCAGAAAGTATATATGTACTCATTCCTAATAAGTCGGATTTGCTGGTTTATCAATCCTATTTCTATTGACTTTGAGGGCTATAGTTTCTCAAAGACTAATAGAAAGTGAACTTCAACATACTCTCTAAGCTCATCATAAGTTCAAATTTCTTACAAATCCCAAAACAAACAATTCAAATACACAAAATAAGGTACTAATTTAAGCAACATACAGTCATTAGAGATTACTTGATAGGTTGTAGACATTAAAAGTTCTTTTGTAAAATTCTCAAACCTCTTGCTGGGGATTTTATCTGCATCAAAAGAAACACGAATCATCAGTGGAGAAATCGGTACGTTCAAACATACATTTTGAGCTTAGTTTTGCAACAAAAAGGTTCAAGTTATATATACCATTGGTGTAAATCTTTTACAGTATCTGCAATAAGAACATATCCGGTGAAATCCTGGAGAGAGTAGAGTGTACGCAAATCTTAACCCTACCTCATAGAGATAGAGAGACTGTCTTTGAAAGACTCTTGGCTCAAATTGTGGGCTTTTTCACCTAAATGATACTACTTGTATTGTGATATTTGGAATCTCGAAAGTAAGATAGGTTATTTGCTATGACATGTAGATGTGACTTATGGATAGTACAAAACTTTACTTAATTACTCTAACAGTGTATATAACTTGAACTAAAAAATTAATAGTGACAATATAAAGATATTTGTTTGAGGAAGTGAAGACTACATACTCTACTGAAGTTCAAGGGACTTCTTGTCATGATGAGGAGGAGGCAATGGATCATAGGAAGAGACTCCTTGGCCTTCCATCATATTAAGTTGAAGCATATTTCTTGCTAAATATTGCTGTATTGCACTGTAATCTTGTCCTCCTGCTGCTGGCATCATGCTTAGTTCCTGAAGCCTCTCATTTTCTGCTATCTGAAAGCAATAATATTTTCATTAATCTCCATGAGAGAAAATAACTAAATGGGAATCTTAGTACGTAGCTAGCCAGATGGTTCGTTATCTTAACTCTCACCTTATTGGTAAGAGTTTGTTTTTCCACCTTATAATCCCCTCCCGGATTCTCTTTTAAAAATAAAGTACTAATAATAAAGTAACTAAATGAAAATTTGCAATTTTTGGGGATTAAAGTGTACGTCAGTTTCATTTAAACAAACTTTTGCTTGTTTTATTCTAATTGAGCGCCTAAACATATGATAAAGTGTTTCTATTTGGCACTTTAATAACTTTTCGGAATATTCTAAGAGTCAATTACATGGAGAAGGTGATCGCTTAAAAAGTGTCATCGCTTGCTTAGATTACATGCATTAGCCTCAATAAGTAACAAAGTCTTAAGCATGCATGTTTTAATTGAGGTCGATGTGAATAATTAAAATGAAATGACATATTTTGTGATTAGTTAATACCTAATATATAATTAAGAACACGCGCAAACATCTGTCAAAAAGTTAAACCAGAAGTTTCTTATAATTAGGAACACTTTATCGTGTTCCGTTGCTTAAGTGGAATAGACCATAGTTCAAGGGTCTAAAAAAATATACTAACAAGATTAAGTGATTATCGATGTTAATGTCTATCTATAAATATTAAAATGTATTCTTTTTCTAAGTAACCAATTTAAAAGAAATGTGTGCTACTAATTAAGTACCTTTGATCTAAGGAATGCATTCTCCTGTTCCAGTAGAATTTCCTATTAAAACAGCAAGTTGAAAGATTATAAAATATGCCAAAGCATAATTATATTTAGTCTGAACCTAAAACATAAAAAGGATAAAAACAATTTTTCAATAAATTATTACCCTCTTCTGCAAATTCTCAGTTTCAGCCAGTATCATCTCATGCTGTTCAACCACATAACAAACATCAAAGCTACTGTTATGAGGATTTGTATAATCAACATAAAAAATTTTGCTACTTAGGCTGACATTTTCACTACATGTAATGTTGTCAGATGGACAGATCAAAATTAAAGTGAGTTAAGTTAATAAATGAACGGATCGTATATCGATTATCTGTCACAAGTTGGATCACGATGGACTAAAAAATGGATCATAATCAATGTTGTCTAACTCTTATCAAGTTTCAATTAATTCATTTGTTTTCTTATAATTCATTTAATTACCAAACAAAAATAATATCAAAGTTTTTGTTTCCTTTCTCTATATGACACTTATCAAAAAAAAAAGTGCAAGGTTTCCTATTACTCATTTAGGGCCTTGTACTATATGTGAGCAGATCCAAATGGCTTGAAACAAACTTTCCGAGTCATATTTTTATGAAATAATTTTATCATAACGCGTAATTTCAAAGCGCGAGTAACTTCTAAGGAAAAATGTGTTTGGTTTACAACTCCAAACAATGCAATAGTATGCACTTACAACAATATTTTAGTAATCCAACCATTACAAATATACCTTTTTTGATCTGATTCTGCTGATGCCTCGTTCAAGTCTATTTTCCAACTGCTTCAGCTCTCTTACGTTCAAACAACTTAATCCTTCACCAACCAGATGCCTACACGTGGAATATATAAAATATTTTGTGCATATAATCGAATTAGTTTTAAAATTCATCCCAAATTTAATTTATTGAATTAATTATGGTGTTACCTGTTTGAATTCTGCATCATTTGTATCTGTTGGCGCAGCTTTTTTGATTCTTGTTGATAAAACTACATACATGACAGCCAAAACAATATTTTGTCATATAGCTAATAATTTGTTTTTTTTTTATAATCCATCCCGAAATAGAATTAATGATGAATTTTTATTGTTTAGCATCAAAAAGTTAAATGATTTTGCTTAACTAATTACCTGAGCATTGAGCTCTTGAGTGGTGCAAGCATTAGAGGTTTCAGCAGTTGCCTTCTTGTATCGTTCAATAGTTGCCTTAATGCTGTGTATACCAAAAGTTTTATCATATACTTTATAAACAATAAATATTCGAGGCTAATGTATATAATTAAAAATAAGGTGATACATATTTTAAGTAGTCAAGGTACTTGAGAACACACATGCCCAAAAGTCATTTTCTAAATTTAAACGGGAAGTGTCTAATAAGAATATTTTTTTATAATATATATTTTCAGGTGGTCAATTAAAACAAGCCATTGCATTAAACCTTTAATGAGCCATCTCTATCCACAAAGTTAATTATTACGACTTATCATATTTTTTATCTAATTTTTAAATATGTAAATTTTATTATAAAACACTTTTTATATGTTTGTATTCGGTCTTACTATTTAAACTGACTCTTTTGAAATTCAAACAATGCAATATAAATTAGTACAAAGATAGGTAGTACTTTGTGTTGCATAAAAAGATCATGTTCAATGAAACCAAAAGCTAGCAATGGAAACAACTAAAAGCAAGAGAATGATTTACTCATCAGAGTGCAGATTAAAAAAAAAAACATTGATAAGAAAATCTAATTTGTGATGATGTAATTTTTGAAGATTTCTCTTCTCTCCTTTTATGTTGCACTATCTTTGGAATCATATCTTTTTTACATTTTAGGGTGATAATAATATGTACTTTTTTTATTTTTTTTTAATATTCCATATGCATGCAATAGGGAGACCTTATATATGGGAGAAGTACTTTTTTAATTAATTAATATATGTAGACATAAAAGTGAAAGAGAGAACATATATTGACTAGAACTAGAATAGATACAAACCAAAGCAGGAGAACTTTATAATGCATAAGCTACAAGAGGAAACAAAAAGGCCCTCATAACAGCAGAACACAATAGTCACAAGTCACTCATGATGGGACTTCTCAATATATACTTCTTTTAGTACTTATTAATCTGGAGTGTCCTTGACACTTTTTCATGTATAAAACCAATAAATATTATTTGTCACTCATTCACTTTTCTTGCATATATATATATATATATACTCACACATGGATCTTTCAAGGTAATTATCATAGTTGTTTGAAGTGCATAAACCATCTTATTTAAGAATTTAAAGAAGTTAGAGAGAGAATATGTACGGCCAAGCACGTGAAAAATTCGTTTTTAATTGATGATGATGAGTTAGTTACTGTACGATTCAAACTCAAGACTTATACCTATAGCTTTGGTACTATTATACTATAATTATATTGAAGTATAAATCATCTCATGTAAAAGTTTATCGCGAGAGGATATTTCATTTCACTTTAATTATTTCACAGGCTGGTGATGGATGTGGCAAATTTTTTTTATTAATATTTTTTTTTTTTTAAAAGAAAAATTTGTGTTATTCAAAATTCAAAACAAAGTGGCAATTATTAATCTTCTAAGATGGTTTAACTTTTGGCAGATCTCATTCTCATGAACTAGCAATTGAGATTGAATTATTAACTAAGCTTCGACAGAGGGCTCGAGGATTGGGTAGAGATTCAACTAAGTTAAACTATATGTGTGAACATCTCCTAAAACACTAGTGTACTATTATTCGATATCACCTGAGAATGCCTTCCTTTTTTTAATTGTGATTAAGAGATAGTAAATTTATATTCATCTCATTTCTTAACTTATTTTGACGTTGGATCTTTATATTATATTGTTCACGCTTTAGTTGACAGGACTAATTGTACGAAAAATATTAGTATCTCATATTGATGGTTAATGACCGATGTGTCTTCCTATATGATTTTGGATAGTTTTTACCTCATGAACTAAGTTTTGAAGTAGAGTTAATTATGCCTCAAATCACTTTTCTTATTATAATTTTTACCTCATAAGCAAACCTTCGAAGATAAAGTTAGGCTCAAGATCACTTTTCTTATTGATCTTTTGTGACTTAGGTACGGTGTTGGATATATAGGATATTTTCGATATGGGGGAAAATATTTTCTATTTTACTTTTTTTTTTTTATCTTCTCCATTTTGGTTAGCCAAAATTTTAGAATAATTTTTTTTTCAAAAAAAAAAACAAATTTCTTAAAATTGAGAAAAATAGACTAATTTTCTAGTGAAAGTAAGGACAATAAGTTTCACAAATAACATTCTATATTGATTATGTTATCTATCCTCAAACCTTTCATAGTATTATTTATCTAGATTATTATATGTAAATCCTTTTATGATAATATTTTTTACATATAACTCAAACACAATTAAAGACGAGAAGAGTTGATTGTAAGTATCCTCCACCTCCGATTCTGTCATTTGTGTGTGAATCAAACAACTACTATAAATTTTGAGGAACAGTGTATTCATATATGCTTTCTTACAGCTCAATTATTTTATGCACTAACAAAATGATTATTCAGATTTCAAACATCAAGAGATAAGCGAATGATTATGATATCAAGAAAGAAGTAGATGCTAATGAAATGCCATATTATGTCCATATATTATATGTTATATAACGATATATATGATCGTCTAATTGAACAAATTTAACTATATGAGAGATAAATAAGAAATTACTTGTTGTTAGAGTATTCATAGACGCGTCCACGTGTGGAGAAAACAATAAGAGCAATCTCAGCTTCACATAGAACAGAGAGTTCATAGGCTTTCTTCAACAATCCATTTCTTCTCTTGCAAAATGTAACCTGCCTGTTTGTGTTGTTCTCTATCCTCTTTATCTCTATCTTTCCTCTTCCCATCTGTATTAACCACATAAAAGAGAATATAACACATTTATATTTAATTAATTAATACCTATGTTTTAATTTTGAGAGTAATGAATAAATCGGACATATCTCATTCTATAACAAGAGAAAAATTAGTAGAAATCTAGAACAAGAAATCTATGAACTAATTAGCTCTGGTTCGATCATAGATTTTTTCTAAAAAAATTAAAATACCGTTTCTTCATGAGATTTGTTTTTTTCTTTTCTTTTCTTGAAAATTTACCATCTTCAAAAAAAAAAATCTAACTCCAAAAATTTGCCCAAATCAGTTTTTCGGATAAATTTCGCTTATACTCCAAAAAGAAATCCAAAAATTGATTCTTCAATTCATCTTCTATAAAAAATTTTAAAGTTTCGATTAAATTTATGAAAACGCTTTCAATACAAGAATCTAAGCAATAACTTATATCATTTTTTTTCTTCCATTCAGTAGAAATTGAAGAGGTAGTTAGGTCTAACTAAATAAACGAAAGATGAAGCAGAAGTAACTCCATGTTTGATGATGAAGTAAAATAAATTTATAATACAAAATCAATGTTTTAAACTAGTTCTTTCTTGGAGAATTGCTCCAAATTAGACTGTCTTTTTTTTTTTAAAAAAAAAAAGTAGTATTATTAAAAACGACTGGTAAAATTGTTATATGTATCTCTAAAACACCTCATATTAAAAGTCGTGCATGTGTAGAACTAAGTATTCAAAGAGATTAAACAAAGAAGAAATTTAAAACAAGAGATTTGAGAAATGATTCTAAAATCTCTCTATCACTAAAAAAAAAACAACCATCCAATACAAGAATTTAAGCAATAATAACTCACATAATCATCCAAATTAATTAGTATTTGAAGAATTAAATTTTTATTTTCTTGGGAGAAGCTACCTCCAAATATAATAAAAAAGTAGTACAAATGTTTTTCCAATTCCTTTTTTTTCTCCTCATGATATGCAAGAAAAGATACACACAAATTAAAAAAAATCTTGTGTAAACATAACTTACACACAAGATCATCATGTTTCAAGGAGATCTTTTATTGATCAACCAAAATTTCCGTGACAAGAGGAGGTTACTCAGATAGTAAGCACCCTTCCCTTTCAAATAAGTGAAAGATTAAAAGAAAAAAAAAATGCACGCGCTTGATAGATATAAAAATGAAATCTTTCATATTTCTATAACCTATGTAATTTGCAGATAGATCTAAAGCTTGACTTAGTTCCACACGAAACACAAATTAATTTTGTCATAATGAACACAGAGAGAAACATTTCAGAATCTGCAAAAAAAAAAAAATTTAAAAAATGCATGGAAGAATGGGAAATTTAAGTTTTTTCATATATTTTTTTCTTTCTAAAATTTGATGCTATGTAAAATATCAACGTAATAGACCTGATTGGCTTGAATTGAAAATATTGCTATTTTCCGGCGAACTTCAAAGGCTTTCTGAAAACTCACACAACTTCCAAAGACTTCTTATTTGTACACTGATCAATGAAGAAAAAACATAATACTTATATGCTTTTCTTTCTTTTTATATTATATCCCTACTTACCCTAACTTTATCCCTAGCTACGACTATTTTTACTTGTTTACTATACTAAAAATAATTATTCAATTTGAAAAACACAAGAGATGTTTTACCATTTTATTTACTTTTTAATATTTAGATGACGTGTTACCAATAGGGGTGACTGATGATATATAATAAAATTACTCTTCGAATTTATTATTTCTTAAAAGATGTGTGTTGAGTCGGATGGACGAAGAAAGTATCACTCAAAATTAAAGTGAAGAGAGATAATAGAGATGGCTGGCCAAGAAAATGACATTCAAATGGCTTTTTTCCAGATATAAACCAGACGTGATGTTATGGGATTGTTTATTGCAGACTAAAATTTCACCAATTATTGCAAAGCGTGTTATTTTTGTTTCTTCTTGACTAATATGCCCCTTGTGCTGTTTAAAATCTCTCAAACTTTTCTTTCAAATATTTAAATTTTATTTAATGAGGTTTGACCTGTATATTAAGAGACCGTCTGGATTGGCTTAAAAAAATAGCTTTTAAATTAAAAATAAAAAATCAAAATGAAATGACTTTTAAGTCAAAAAATAAAAAGTAATAGGGGATCTACTTTTGGTTTTTGACTTATTTTAAATCATTTTTTATTTGTTTTGAGTCATTTTTTACTTTGTCAGACACTTCGTAACTTATTTTAGTTACTTTTTATATTTGCCTAACACTTTCAGAAGTCAAAAATTGATTTAAAAGTAGGTTTGACCGACTACTAAACCTATTCAAACGGGCTCTAATTTTGTTTAATTAAGAAAAACATAGATATTAATTCTACTTCTGAATTCATGGTAAAAATTCATATAATCAATATCAACTTGTTTGAAATTTAAGAATAATATTTCCGTCAAACTTGAAGTAATTTAACTCGATGATATAAATTCATATCATATCTATAGGGAAGGATACAAGTTTAATTGAAATCATAACTTCTGATGAAGCATAAATTCATAGGCAAAGTTACATGAATTATAACTTCAAACATATAATTGACTCAATACTAAACATCTAGAAATGCTTAACTCATGGAATTAAAATTCTAAATCCGTTATGGAGTGTCAATTGATAGATAAAGTGAAGATTTAACTTTTTTAGGGTTTTGTGAAACCGCACGTTGAAATGAAAGTTAGGGTTGATTTGTTGAGTTCCACATAGAATTCAGTCAGCTGATTTATACTTAATTAAGACAGAATTATGCAATTCTATTATCGCAACATGATTGTGTTTTTCTGTAATTTTAATGTTAAATTGGTCAATATCTTTTTTTTCAAAAAAGGAAGATAATTTAACAATAAAGAATGGCTTTTCTTGTAAAAATAAAAAATAAAAAAAATGATTTCTGAAAGTAGAAAATAATAAAAATTTTGTAAGTTTGTATTTCATTCCATCATTCAACACACTCCATCTCACCCTTACACCCACACCTTCCATATTATATTATTTGCATATAAAATTATATATAAATATTTTTAAGATACAACATTTTTACCCATGTACTAATTACTAAACATTTTTAAAAAATCATTTATTTCTAATCATATCAAACATACCATTAGTTTATATTTCCATTCATCAGAATTCGAGGATCTTAGTTTGTACACTTTCCAAATCACCTTATATAATAATTAATTATAGAAGATGACATTTCACCATTATTTGAAAGAGTTAATACCTTAAAAATGGGGAAAGTACACAAATTACTCATAAAATAAATTAATTATCCTCTTTCGTCCTCTTTTTTCAAGCATGAATCAGTATGGCCTCAGCTTAATCACAGCTACGACTTAGTCCTTTATGATACTTTCTTTGTATATCATAAATGTTACTAATCAGGATCACGGTGAAGTGATAAATACTTCTTTATCCTTAATTTAAAGTCTCATATTCGAATCTCCTTGAGACATCAGGTGAGAAAAAAAAATATACCATGTTAATATCATACAAAATTGAACTCTTTAACAACAATGAATAGTTTGTTTAGTAGAATAAAAATATATATTTTCATAAATTTTTACCCTGGTACAAATGAAAACAAAGTTTATATTTAAAATATGACTCTACTTTTTCTTTCATAGGTTAAATCCTTTTTAATGTGATCGACTTTGTATAGTTCTTTGACCATAGGTCTCAGGTTAGGAAGTGTCTTATCTCTATAGGCTTTTTTGTGTAAATTCAGATATAATCGGACTCTAATATGGATACTGAACATCGAATGAATAACAAAAAGAAAATACGACTTCAACAATATCTTTCTCTGTGTTTAATGTGGATTTGCATAGTTTGAAAAGTACTTTAGATGATCTATATGAAAATTACTTTTGCCACTCAAAAGATTTCTTCTAGATGGTAAATCTTGACCTTAGATGGGTAAATTTGGGGACAGTAAAATCTCCAAAAGAACAAAAAGGAATTGTGATCAATTCATAGGTTAAAGATCCCTCAGAGAATCTAAGATAGATTGCAATCAGTGCTTTGCAAGAAAAAGTATAATAATTCATTAATATCAAATATGTGTGACACAATAAATTTTTTGAGCTGTCATTACGTACTCATAGTAAAAGGACATCAAAATGAAGAATTAAAATGTCTCTCTAGTACTTAAAAATTGAAGATTCTAAGTTAGAGTTATACCGTTAAAGCTCGTTATAATGATATTTTGCAGATTGATTTTCTTTAAAATCAGTTTTACATTGTTATGTAGCAAGAATTGATAGGAAATAGAGAGAAACTTGCAAAATTGAGAGTTTGTAGTTGATTAACCTGACCGACTCGGATCCACGAGCGACTTGTTTGATTTAAACTTTTCCGTTTTATTTAAATTTTCCGTCGTTTTGGAAATGACTGCTCTAAAAGTTTTCAGTTATTTAGTTGAAATTAACCGAAACGTTTCAAGTTTTTAATTGATTAACCTGACTGACTCGGATCCGCGCGTGACTCGTTTGATCTAAAAACTTTTCCGTGTTATTTAAATTTCCCGCCGTTTGGAAATGATTGCTCTGCAACTTTCAGAAACAGTCAGTACCATTTGAAAGGTTGCAAACTTTCATTAATGGTTGTGTAGATTCTAAAAGGATTGCAACCTTTCGGAACCTGTTTCTCTTGCCTGTAAATACCATTCACTCTCCAAAATTTTTCCTTAGGAATTTTCTAATTTTCTTCTTCTTCTTCTTCTTCTACACCAAAAAATAATAATTCTTCGTACACTTTACTGATGTTGAGTGGTTTGCTAACACCAAAATTTTCGGTATCTATACGCTGGTGATTGAGATCATTTTACCCTGGGAGCACATATTCCTAATCAAACCTCGGATACTAGAGGGGAATAATTTCCTTAAGGGGACACTATGAGTTGACTTAATCTTTTTCTTGTTAAACTTTTTCAGATTCTGGTACATTTTACAGATTTTAATTTTTATGAATTAATTTTCTATTTATGTTTTTACTGGTTTAATAAATTTTGATTACTTCATGTTTCTACAAAATTTATTAGAATAAGTAATTCTAACTTTTTCTAATAGAGATCGGCAATAATGTGTCTTACTTCTCTATGACAATATATTACATGTACAAAAAATGACATATAACAATATACTCTTTGTAAAACATCCCTTTTGTAACTTTGTACTCAAATAATATATTGCGTGATAAGTATTTTATAAGAAATATATTATATAAAATAAATAATTATATTTAAATGGTGCTCATCAATTATGATCATAACTTCATGTAAAAAAAATTATCTAGTTTTGCACACTTTAGTTATTATAGTTACATAAAATATAAATATCAAATTTCAGTATAAATATATACCATCACGGAATTTTCAGCAGAACATTATCGTCATAGAGAAATTTGACTTGTATAAATATTTTATATATGGAATTGTTTTTTTTTGGGGTTATCCTGAAGAAAATTTCCTTAAGTAATAAACTAACCTTCAACGAAGCAAAATTATTGCGGCTCAACTTAACTTTATGAGTGTTTTGTTCTTTGTTATGAATTTTAACAAAACATATATTCCCCACAAATATTTTTTTTTCTAATTTTTTGCCAATCAATTGACTTAATGATATAAGGAATGTCCGATTAACAGACAAAATTGTGTCATTTTCTTCGACAACAAATCAAAACGGAAAAAACAAACTAAAGCTAAATATATAATTCATAAATTATTCGAAGAGGCCAAATGAGCAAGTCATTAATTTGACCAAAGGTTATATGAGATAAAATGTACTGGATAATTAAAATGGCTTAAATAATGAATCATAGTCATAGCCAACATGTAAACTCTTATTAATTTTTTTTGTTTATTAATTTCTTTAAGTCTTTGATAAAAAAAAATTCTTTTGTTATGAATATATATATAATAATATTAAAAAAAAGGGAAAATACCAAGTACCCCTTAACCTATGCCCGAAATCCCAGAGACACACTTATACTATACTAAGGTCCTATTACCGAACTTATTTTATAAGTAATTTTCTACCCTTTTTTGCCTACGTGGCACTAGTTTGAAAAAAAAAAGTCAACCATCATTGGACCCACAAGATAGTGCCACGTAGGCCAAAAAGGGGTAAAAAATTATTGATAAAATAAGTTCAGGGAGTAATAGGACCTTAGTATAGTATAAGTGTGTCTCTGGAATTTCGGGAATAGGTTGAGGGGGTACTTGAACATTATTCCAAAAAA